TAAAACCCCCACAACCTCCACAACCCCACAAACCCCTACAACCCCCACAACTTCAAATGCGTTAATCTTTCTCCGACAATATGTTTTCCACTGCTCCTACCTGTTCCTATTTTACTTCTTCGCATTGTAACATGTACGAGGGAGTCAAAAGGTAATGTAAGTTGGTTTATATAACTTACAGAAAAAGAAAGCAATTGCATCTTTCATACCATAAATTGAATGAGACCATCTGATAATCAGATTTCTATTTCTCAACAGTCTCCATCTCGTTCAATAGCTACTGACTACCTATTCACAAATGCCATCTTTGTAGAACTGAGCAGGTTGGTGTTTTGGCCAATTTTTCACAGCAGCCTTGATTTACTCAACACTTTGTTTTGACTCCGGCTCGAACATCAGCGACCACTGTTTCTTCATATGTCTAGAGACACAGGTTTTATTGTCTTCATAACTTTTTTTCTTCAGCTTTTTCAAGAAACTTCCACCAAGATTCTAACCACTTCTCTCGCAGATGAAATGTCAATTCCTTTCTTGCCATTGAACCGAACTGCGTTGAAAAAAAGATTCAGAAGAAAATATAAACCTTTAAAACGACCAAGAGTCCAGTAAGTTTTAATAGTGCTAAGCATCATTTTGTTTTCCGAGGACAGGTGAGAGCATAAAACTGACGACGAATTTGCTACCTCAGAATTACAACGTTCTTTCTGACATTTTTGGCCGTTTTGGGTTACTAAGAACATAAGATCAAAAACCAAATGTCATATCTGCTCCATAAAAACCTTAAGATTATTGGAGTCGTTATTGAATTATTCAAAGAATTGCATTCGAAAAAGCTTGACATGAAGTGAAACTCAAAATCTTTGACGTCAAATCTTTCAAAACTAGGTACGGAACAGAATTAACTTTTAATTCCGAGGTAGCCAAATGTCAACATGACGTCAATTTTGCTTCGGTTTTGGTGGGGAAACTATTCTTTTTTTTACAACAAAAAAACAGTTACGCACACTACTTTGGCGGTGGGAAGAGACAGGGAGGGGGGAGAGAGAGAGAGAGAGAGAGAGAGAGAGAGAGAGAGAGAGAGAGAGAGAGACAGCGAGAGAGAGAGATTTTGCACTGGAATGACATTTTGAAGTCATCCAAATAGTTGCGCTTTTTATGCAATTTTTCACAATATAGTCTTTCTCCAAAGTAACTTTTTAAAGCAGACTGTTATCTTCATCTATTAGAAATACAATAAGCACTCAGCGACCTTCCCACTCACGTAACTGTTCAATGTTTTTACACTAGCAAAATAATGACAGCAAAAACCTTGTAGCAGACACCAACCGGACTCCAGGTATGACAAAAACAGACTCTCATTTGTCTCGGAGGAAAAACGATCATAATCTCATTTCGCCGAGTCTTGTAGTGCAAAGATTTATGGAGCCACAGTTGGTGGGTAGAAAGCCAAACCGGATAAAGCGGCGTCGGTAGTCTTGTGGTTAGGCTACCGGACCCGTTTTCGAAATACAGGTTCGTCAGATGTGCCACAGGGAAAACACTTTACACGGTCGTACTTTCCCATTTAGTTCAGTTCTATTGGAGAGGTCATACTTTTGGAAAAGTCTTACAATGTTGCAAAGGGCGTTTAACCTCTACACTTTTGCACAATTTTCAAACCAGATAACTGGGTATGTTTCAGTACCCGTATCGGTTATTTGTCAAGCGTATCGCTTTCTCTGACGCCCCCACGAGTTATGAGAATAATGACGAGAGGCATGCGTGAAAGGTGAAATGAAGTGTTTGCCGACATTGATGGGTAGACATTTGCTTCAATATTTGTTTGGCTTATGGGGGGAGGGGGGAGGGGTCTTTTTTCTGTCAATCTGTTTGCTTTGGGTTTTTTCTTTTTTCTTTTTTTTCTCTTTCTTTAGTTTCTTTTTCTTTTTTTGTAAAATAGAGTTTAGATAGTATTCTAATATCAACGAAATGATGCAAATGCAAAGCCCATCCTCAGTTAAAAAGACTCCTCGTTCATCTTTCGTTATAATTATAATGTTCATTGAGGAATAGTCTCTTACAGATTTACATTCAAACAGTCAAATATGACTCCAATGTCTGAATTGTCTGTTAGCTCAGGCTCATTCTAATATCAAGCATTATTATGTCAGTGACACGACGTTTAGATGGGTGGTCACTGGGGTGTAATCTTGAGCAAGACTCGACAGCACTAGCTCAAAAACAGAGCAAGCAGAGTGGCGACCAGAAACTGAGCGCTGATTGTCTGAATTGTGTGATATTTTGTATTAGGACACATTGATCAATATATTATATATATATGAATGCAAATAAGTGTTCCACAAAGAAACAAATTTCTCCTCAACAATTAGTGAATGCGCAATTTCGTTTTTAATTTGTGTTTGGTGGGGGAGTGGGGTTAAACCAATAGAAAAGAATCACTTTTCGTTGGTTCTATAGAAGATACTCTAGTCATTTACGAAACATTTACGAAACATTTACGAATCATGAGTTCAGCAGCATCTGTATAGATTTTGTGTCACTCACACTCCTAATTGTGTCACCGGCTCTCTCCCTCTCTCTCTCTCTCTCTCTCTCTCTCTC